TTGTATTGCATAGTGCAGCTAACGGTCACGGTGTTTTCCTGGTTCGGCAAAGCGAGACTAGAAAAGGCGAATTTGTGTTAACTTTTAATTTCCAAGGAAGAGCAAAAGTAACATCATTTTCAACACTTAATGATAAATGATGTTTAAACAATTTTAAATATATACATATTCATTTTTATTACAGCATTTACGAATGACGCTAAATGATCAAGGTCATTGCCGAGTCCAACATCTGTGCTTTCCTACGATACATGATATGCTTGAACACTTTCGCCAGAATGCGATACCACTCGAATCTGGTGGGACTGCGGATGTTACTTTAAAAGAGTACGTAGTGACGCCGAGCCATGCATCGCGGCCAGGACACCATAACGTAGCGAGTAGCTCGAATGTACAGCAGTCGCAAGAGAGGAGACCTCCGGCAACTCTGGAGCCCAGAGAAGTAAGAGTCTGCAGTGGAAGTCTAACTCCTCTTGTGTGAGCGCGAGTGGCCAACACCCACAGTCTGAAGTCTAATCTACAGACAGTGAGTAGATAAACCAGCTAAAGCGTCCATATTTATCGTATGGTCGATGATACAGAACAGATTTAATGTCTGCATTTGTGCAAATTCGCTGGAAACTCGATGAAAATTTATATAGATTGATATACAAAGTTAAATATAATGCACCCTATTTGTGTTCTATTTATGACAAAATCCGACATTTGTTTAATAATTTATTTAATATAATATGTTCAAAAAAATATGTACTCCAAAAAAGAGTAAAAATAATGTATTATTAAAAATTTTTTATGTTTATATTTTTTCCTAATTTTCTCATGTCCAAGATACGTTATGTTACAGCACACTTTTATACCTTTTATTTATTTATTATTTTATAAATTTTATAAGTAATGATTTGATTAAATTTGTATATCATTCGTCTAAATATGCAAAATTATCATGTGAAATTTTTATGAAAAGTTTAGAATGATATAAATGTGTGAAATGTAATATTCAGAGAAATATGACCGTGGGGGCAAGGAGCTCGCTTTTAGTAAGTTTTTTCTTGAAATTTCTGGTGTGCTTTATTATTGTATATTGCATATTATAAGAGATTTATGTTTCAACTTCGCCTCAAGCAATACAGGAGAAGCGTTCAGAAATCATTTTTATCTAATTAATACTCTGATATAAAATAAAATTGCCACTTGCAACATTTATATCAGGAAGCTATAAAAACCAGCACTATTAAATTGACAGAATAATATTAGAGTATTCTGGACAAAATATCCTGATTGCTTACATTTTCGCAAATGTTAGAAAAATTCTCGTCAATATTTCTTATTTTGAATCTATAATACCTATAATAACACACGTTATGTGTGTGTGTGTGTCATCAATAATATTTATTTCAGGTAACTTTTTAGTTATTGTAAAATTAAATGTATACACAAAATATCAATTTCGTGCTTTAACATGGATATTTGCATTTGCCAGTGTTGCTTATATCCTTCATAGTACCAATAAAACGAATCTGTTACATTCAGTATTATTTTCTTATTGTAACTTAGTTTCATTTTCTGAAATATTGACACACAAACCTTTTTCTAATATTGACATGTGTACGTTTTATTATTTCTAAAATCCAGAAACTTTAAGAGAAACTTCTGATAAGATAGCAAGATTAAGAATATATACGAGTGCTTAATGAGATGTTAATAAAATAGGTACGCACTTATGGTGGTTCTATAAGAACTCGCGTGGAATCGTTGGAGAGACTAGAGCAACAGAGCACCATTGTGGAACAACAGGGCTCGGCTTCGTCTACTGGCAGAGCGGTTCAGAATACTTACAGTTTCCTCTGACGCTGGATTCACGCTAATCCGCCATCAGGCTACAATCCAGTCAGTCCGACGGACTGAATGTGAAAGATATGATGTAATCGCAGTTTTTATCTCCAGAATTGCGTCACGCCATAAACTACTGTTTTACGACAAAGCGCATCTCTTTGCTAGTACAAAAGAATTGCATTTTTCTTTTTGGTATAACTATCTTCCAACCATTGACTCTTGCGTTCAGCATTCGACATTATACTCTTATGATTTATTAGCAACGCGTTTGCATCGCATTTACATCGAATAATAAGAAATAGAATAGATTACCAACAAAACGAGTCTCAGTTAGCAATGGTCATTTCATAACGTGCTCAAATTATTCCCACTCCTAATAATGCCGCAGCATTCCATGGAGCTCCTTTTCGCAGGTTTGCATGCATCTGTGACATGTCTTTTCATCGAGACCGAATTAATAGTCTCCTCGTATATTTTTACTGAGAGAACGGATATATTTTAATGAAAGATCCCGAGTCTCGTTACACTGCTTAATTAATACACGTAACATTGTGCGTAAAAACGTATGTGTGTAATTGGGGAATGATAGTCTCCGAAATCTTGAATTATGGACTGCTAATATATTGCAATCCCTATTTGTGTCTTCGGATCATCCCGAAAACTTGACAAGTGCTCCAAAGCTAAAGCTAAATTATTGTTAAATCCCTGCTTCTCTTGTCACGAGTACAATTTGTTATACAAAATTGCATTTCAGCTGCATTGTCACTAATCCCGATGCTTTGTAGGGCGAATAAATGTAACAGATGTGCCCTATAATCATCGATAAGCATAAAACGAGCTGCGATATTTATAAATTACCCCAATCCTCGTCAGTGTAAAAATCAGTGTATAAATTTCTCCACTTGGGCAAATAACAAGGAAAAGGGAGAGAAAAAATAATTCAACTATATTATCATTCGGGATGAATAGAAAGGGCAAAACATTTTGTGCTACAGTAAGTATGGTCCCATCCCATATATCCCTGCAGAAACCATATTCGATAAGCGTATCGAGAAGTGTATTAACAAATTGTGTAACGACTAAGGATTATCACTAACATCATAGAGCAATATGACTGAGTGTGCAAAATTAGACTATAGACAAATGTATGGATGAGTGATACACGTATGACAGAGAGCTATGATCGACGGAATATCCGATATGTGAAACGAGCAATGCAGGTATTCTCAGTATGAACCGAACTGATTACTGTGATAAGATCTCTCATTCGCACAAGGCATTCAACAAATCCTGTCGCCGTCCGTGCCAGTCTATGTTTTTATTCATGGAAAGCATAGAGGCAACAGGGACGAATTTATCAGACATTTGTACATTTCACTCGCTATTCGCCATTGAAAATTGTAGGAATAGAATTTCCATCGCGGTCTCAAAACAGGAAGAGAAAAAAAAACGTAGGAAAATTGTAGTCGATCTGGAAAAAAATCTGTATCGCAAGTTCATCCTTTAGCCGAAATGCTCGCAAAATCATGCTGTAAGTAGGATGTAAGCTTGTTCCTCGCATAGCCGCAGTTGAACAGACAGCCCTGAAGTATACAGAGTTTGACAACTAGGCATTCAATCGTAATACTTTTCTACTTTATGTCAAGATGCAAGGATGAAAATAAAAACTGAATTCCCTGAAAGTTCTCTAATATTACTTTTAATTATCAACAAATATTGTACAAAACATTTTGTTTATGCCACTTATTTATTAGATAGGAATTGTTAAAAAGATGGTAATCTTTTATATAATATAGTCATTGATTTTATTTAATCTTTACAAGAATATATTTGCGTTATTAAAATTAGTTTAGGGATATCTTCACAAATTTTTTTATTTGAAATTAGAAAAGTTTAATTTCTAAACTGTTCTCATCTGTAATTTCTATTCTAATTTCAAATAAAAAACATTTGTGAAAAAAGAACATTTTCTAATTCTAAAAATTAAAAAAAAGGAAAACAGTAAGTTAAATCGAGATTAAAGTTAATCTTATATTGGAATCTCGAACTTTAATGAATCAAGATCCAATTGCTCCAGCAAGCACAATTTTGAATGTCAACGAAACCCAAAACAAATACTCTTTGTGAAAATTATTAATATGGTGAAAATTCTTCAAACGGTGATTGTGTACAAAATTAATGCAATAATATATCTTTGCGCTAAATGTATTAACTTTTAACTGGATGTTCTTTTTTTAGATATTTTCAGGATTGTCAAAAGTCTGGAAACGGTTGAATATCTCGAAAACAAAGCATTTTTGAGAAAAATGTTTCAGATAAAAATTGTAAGATTTAAAAAGATCTATTCACTGATCACATCCATTTAACTTTTGGTGGCGTCACCAAGGTCAGGTCAAGATCAAATCGATTTTTTTAAATGGAATCCTGGTGAAAATTTTTCTCATAATTTTTATACGAATTGGAACATTTTTTCAGAAATACTCAGAAATATTCGGAAAATTTACATCTACTCTCAGAATTTTTCATACAAGTGAATTCTGAAATATTCTGAAATTTCTCATCCCATAATTTTTAAAAAATATTTTTAAATGTTTTAGATTTTATTTCATCAGAAATTATACTTACAAAAAATCTTAGAAATATATATCTTACGATATTTCATAAGTAACATATATAAAAAATTCTGAGAAAAGATGTAGATTTTCTGAGAAGTGTTCCAATTCGTATAAAAAATGTGAGAAAGTTATAAAATTATATGAAAAATTTTCACCAGGGAACATCCTATTTTTGATGCCAGAATCTAACAGTCTGGTATCAAGAGCTTTTCAAAACATTATAATAAAGTTATTTTTTATTAAGTACTTTTCGAGTTATAAGATTTGAAAGTACAGTACCGACTACCGCCGGCATTAGCATTACGCAATGTGTTCGATCGACCACCGACGGCTAAAAACTGTTCAAACCTTTTGAATGTTGTTCAGGATCATATGGATAATATTTATCAAGGCCATTGGAGATTATTCGTCTTATTTGCATTTTTGCACTAATAATTCATTTTTATGTAAAAATGAAAATAAGATTTCAAAATTCGAGATTTTCAACCGTTTCCAGACTTTTGATACGCCCTGTATATATAGTTACGTTGCTTGGAAATCAGAAATGGCCAGCATTGGCCAGCACTGGCCAGCACAATAATTGATATCGTTATCTTTATCTTAACAGTGAAGCTGCAGATAAAATTTCTGCCCTGTTCTTGGTTTTAATACGATCCTACTACATCACCTGATTTGGCAATTGACACGTCGAATCTACGGACTCCTTGAAAACATATTGTTATTATGGCAGCTCAGGTAATAGCAAAGTGATATTCCTGTCTCGAAATTTCGTAGAAATTTAGACAAATTTAAACAAATGTTTAGACGACAATGTTTGACGAGTAATTTGTTCATAAGGTACACGAATTCAACGTCGACATGACGTGCGAGGGATGCTCGACGGCTGTCCAGAATGTCCTCAAGAAAAAAGCAGGTATTTGAAAACATTGCAGTCAATTTTATGGACGCAAAAGTATTTTTGTTTGTACGCCGTATTTCGTAATTTTTATCTTATCGGTACTCTTTGAAGACGTTATTTTTGGTCAGACTAACGAAACGTGTAAAATGAGGTTAACATAACTGCATAGGGAAGTGTTAAATATAAGAAATAGTGCAGTTGTAATTTTTTAGGAAACAAAATACATTTCAGTCGACACAAACTAAAGATAATTTACATTAGTGTTATAATTTCACACTTAATATATAATGTAATAACTGTTGTATAATATATACTACATTTCATTTATATTGTTGAGTGTGAAATTATTATTATATATAACATTGTTACTTTTAGCTGGTGTCGACTGGGATACTTATGTTCAAAATATCTCTAACTTATTATATTACTGTATGATATGTAGGTATCGATGACATCAAAATAGATTTACCAGAGAAGAAGGTATTCGTGACCACTGCGCTCAATTCGAATGAGATTTTAGAAACGCTCAAGAAAACAGGAAAAACTTGCCAGTTTTTACAGACTCATTAAGGAAATTAATAAGGGAGTGATTTATGTGACGTGATTGTAACAGGTGCTGCTAAATATATCAGGCATACATTGTAACAGATATTCTTATAGTATTTTTTCTATAAAAAAAAAGAAAATCATATACTTCAATTACTTATTCATAGATATACGTACATACAAAATACAAAAATAATGTATTTAAGATTATATATAAGAAAATGTGTCATATTATACTAAACAGCTTACATATTACAAATTATATTTGAATTTACTATATATAATGCAGCTCGAAATAAACTACGTTTCTCATATAACATAAAGCATCGAAATATTAATTTAATTTTGCAAATATATGAATACTAGAATGAATTTATATTATCTTTTTTTAAATACTATTAAAAAATTAATTGCGCAGTTATTAATATTTTATAAAAGATCAATATTTCTATACATTTATTTTTATAAATATACTCATATAATTGCAGATCAGAAATTTTATGCGAGAGATTTCGTCACATAATTTTATTAATTTTTCCTATCAGAAAATCATTTTAAATACTATACGGTCATATAAGCATTGGTTGCTTAGATCATTTAATATTGGGAGTATTTATAGACATTATCCTTGCTGGAAAGCAAGCAATAATGACATAGCTAGTAATTTTAGTAAAAAGAACATTTTACAATATACATTCAAGGTATCTATATTATTTAGCGTAATATGTAGATATTTTTGACACCAGGATAGATTTATCAGGGAATAAAATACTCTTATACTTTAGAAATGATCAGGAAACTATCAAAAACTTTAGATTCATTATAAAAAACTATATGATCATAACAGGTACTTCTGAAAAATATATAGACATATATTAATATAGAGATTATTTATGTTGTACATATATATTTATAAAAAAATAATTCTTGTATATGTACAAAAAATACAAAAATAATATGCTTATCATATATAATAAAATATCTTCTATTATCTTAAGTAGTTTGTGTATTACAATTATATTTTTTGAATTATCATAACGTAACGAAACGCTGAGTTTTTTTATATTTATAATATAAAGCATCGAAATTTTAGTTATCAGCAAGATTTACTTGAAAAATTAATAATTTGTCAATATTGTGATACACATACATATTATTCCAAATGATTAACGATTTTAAACCGAAGACGCTACAAATCTAATTTCCACAGCGCTTTTTCTATTATTACCAAGCATTGTTGTAATACATTATAATGGTAACGTAATAATTGTATTTTATCTAAAATTTTATCTTCTACTGTTTTAATGTGATTGGATGAAAATGCATTGGAAGATGTCTGACTTTGTAGAACCGTTTGAGACTGTTGCGAGACTACTGTGAGTGTATTTTCTACACAACCTACTTTAGAAGGTTTCATGTTCTTCATATTGATCACTTTAGATTTGATAATTTTCGCTGATAGTCCTGCACTGTTGTCCGATTTTAGATGCGACTTTTTTAATTTGTCTGACAAATACTGAAATAATATATGTTATATAATTCATAATTCTGGATATGACTTATTGTTAGTAGTATATTATTTTTTTTTTTTTTAGTAAAATACGATTGTTGCTTTGTTTAGTTTAATAGAACATATTTGTATATTAAATTATTACGTTCGCTTGGTCCTGCTTCACATGTGTATCTTTTTCACGTTCATTGCTGTATGATTCTTCATTCAAATCGTCAAGTTTTTGTCCAATGGATGTTAACTGTGGAATATCACTGACTCGACCATCCTCACATAAATTATTCGACTCCCATATTCGAATTCGTCGATCCGGGCCACTAGAAGCGAAGAGCTTACCATCGTTTGAAAATGTTATGCATGTTACGTTATCAGAATGTCCCTCGAGAGTATATATTGAACGGCTTTTTAGAAGATCTAAAATCTAGCCGATATATCTTGTTACAGCAAATACAGTAACAGTTTATTGGAGCTTCTACTTGAAATCAAAGTCTTAAACCACCTTCATTGTAGAATCATCAGAAGCTGTTAACATAAAGTTTCCATTTGGATGGAACTTGACCATATTCACAGATGCCGTATGAACAGGATAATGCTGATGTAAAGAATTCATTCTTAAATCGTACAATTTAATACACGCATCCTCGTTTGCTGATCCAATAATTGTACCAGTTGGATGAAACTCTACATATCTAGCAGGAGCTAACATACAGTAAAATTTTTCTGTATTAGCTCTATATTTACTTTAAGTAAAATTTTACTTTAAATTCCTAAAAGATGAAGTTATAATACATTTGACAAACCTTTTATATCATTAAAAGTTTTGACACATCGTCCATTGGTAATGTCCCATACTTTTATTGTTTGGTCGTCGCTAGATGATACCAAAAGTTTTCCATCAGGAGAAAATTTAACACAACTGACCGAACTCGTATGTCCTGTAAATATCTTGGTGAAATTTCCCATCAATGGTATCCATAGAATTATACTTTTGTCATCTGATGAGGAAACCAACTAAACATATCGATAAACACATAATAGAATTAGTCTAATTTAAGGCCATTTTTATCAACTCCGATTAACTTAGTCGGTCGATTAGTCCATTGGAATTGACCAATCGGATTTGTTTGACGACAGATGGCGATTGGCCAATTCCAATGGACTAATCGGTCGATTAAGTTAATCAGAGTTGGTAAAAGTGGCCCTTAGTCCATAATCATGGATAAACAATGACGTAAATTGCCTATAGTAAAAATTTATGACAAGTCGACTAATAAATAATTAAACGCAAGAATTACCTTGTCCCCTTTTGGACTAAACTGTACTGATTTTACGTCAGATCTATGACCTTCAAATTTTACGAAATGTCTACCCTCAGAGACTTGAATTCTGACACTATCTTCTGAAGCACTGGCTATAAGATCACCATTTGGTGAATAGCATACATCCAATATACCGGATTCACGGGCTTCAACCTTTTCACATTTCGTTTTCGCACACATGTCCAATCTCCACAATCTTAATGTTTTATCTAAGCTACTCGATACAAATCGATTAGTTTGTATCGGATGAAAGCTTAAAGCTGTAACATCATTGTGGTGTCCTACCAAATATTTGTATTCTCTAGGATCACGGCCAGTTTGTTCCATTGTCCTAGTAGCACAGCTCACAATAGAAATAGTAAAAGAATAATTAAATAAGAATATGTGAAACAATTATATATATATATAGGGTGTTCCAAAATTCGCGCCCGCAACAACTTTTTCCTTTTGCAAAATTGCGTCTGACGAGTAGTTTTTGCAGGAGAGCAGGTTGAAGTTAACAAATAAGCGTAAAAATTATTTATCGGATGCAATTTTGTTAAAGGAAAAAGTTTGTTTTAGCATAAAGTATCACGTCTTGTACTTCACGGATGCGAATTTTAAAACACCCTTATGTAATAACTCCAAATTAAAATAATTGGTATTGATAATTCTATAATCAAAAACATTGAACAAACGTAAAAAAAAGACTTACTGCCCATTAAGTGTACGATTATTACTTTTTTTTTCCGTCCGAGGATTTCGGCATCGCAGGCTCAAGATTACGCATCCAGAGATGTTCTGTTATTTATTGTAATAATATTAAAAAATCTATAGTGTACGTTACATATACTATAGGTTTTCAATATCGGAATACTGTTTAACTTATAATTAAACAATATGAACCTTACAAGACTTGAAGTCCAGCCAGTCAGTTCAGATATTATTTTCTTCATGATCTCTGTAAGTAGGGTTGGGTGATACAGAAAAAAATCTCGATATTTCATATCGCAATATATATCGTAAGTAGAAATATTAATACATCAAAATATCAGTTAGATAATTTGTGCAATATTGCTGATATCGATATGGATCCGATATTTCTATTTTTAGACGATACGTAAAATCGATCTTTTTGAAAAAATAAAGCGGGGAGCACAGACTCTTGTATAACGCATAACACGTAAGGCATAAGAAAATGTACCAATCAAAGCCCTCCGTTTCCTTCCTTTCCATGAAATAAAGAATTCTGATTGATTGAATTTCTTATGCATTACATGTTATGCGTTATGCAAAAGTCTGTGCTCCCCGCTTAACTATTGGAGATCATTTTAAGGCTATGGTATTTCGTCGATCCTTTTGAATATTTCTAACAAGAATTTAAAAAAAAAAATTGTTATTTTTATTGCAACTAGTACTATACATATATAATTATATATTGCAACTAATACTATACATAGATATAGTATTGATTGAGATATATATATATACAGGTTGATTCATATAAAGTGATCGATTTAATTATTAGAATTTGAAGATATATGAAAAAGTAGTTTATACCAACGCGTATTCAGTACAAAAGAGAATATCATGTAGTGGAAACAATTATTTTAGGAATACCTATATTAATACATAAATTACTTATTTTGTACATATATTTTTCATAAAAAAAATTACACTTATTCTCTTATATGTACAAAAAAATACAAAAATAATGTACTTAAGATCATATATAAAAATATCTTAATTCTATTATCTTAAGTAGCTTGTCTATTACAAATTACATTTTTTAAATTTACTATAACACAAAACATCATATGTTGCGTTTTACATATCTATAAGGCATCGAAATGTCAATTATCAGCAAGATCCCTTAATTTTTGTATATGCATTACGAAACTGTTCAAAAGAAATTTTACTTGAAAAATTAATCAGTTGTCAATGTTGCACACATACATACATATATTATTCCAATTAATTAACAATTATAAACTGAAGAAGCTACAAAGCTAACTTCTTAAGCGTCTTTTCTATTACTATTAAGCGTTGTTCTAAAACATTATAATAGTAACGTGATAATTGTGTTTTATCTAAAACTTTATCTACTTCTAGTGGTACAAAAAATTGATTAGATGACAGTTCATTGGATGATGTCTGATTTTCTGAGACTGTTTGGGACTGTTTAGAACTGTGATACTGTTGTGAGACTACCGAGAATATCTTTCCTACAGAATCTTTTTGAAAAGGTTCAATATTCATATCGATTACTTTAGGTTGAACGATTGGCGATGATGGTCCTGGACGATATTTCTTTTTTCTTTTTTTCTTTTTTATCGTGTTGTCTGATTCTAGATGCGACTTTTTTATCATCTGATCATCTGATAAGCACTGAAATGGTATATATAATAAAATTGACAGTTATTGATGACATAGCAACATTGTTTTTTTTTTAATAAAATGCAACCGTTACTTTCTTTAATTTAACCCTTTATAGCCCGACTTTGAAGTCACATACTAATATATCGATACTTTGATGATTTAATTTTTAAAAACAAAAATTTGGGCTATAGAGTTCATAGAGCATATTTGTATATTAAATTATTACGTTCGCTTGGTCCTGCTTCACATGTGTATCTTCTTCACGTTCATTGCTGTATGATTCTTCATTCAAATCATCAAGTTCTTGTTCAATAGATGTTAACTGTGGTATATCACTGACTCGACCATCCTCACATAAATTATTCGACTTCCATATTCGAATTCGTCGATCCGAGCCACTAGAAGCAAAGAGCTTACCATCATTTGAAAATGCTATGCATGTTACTTTCTTAGAATGTTCCATAAGAGTATAAATTGGACAGCCTTTTAGGAGATCTAAAATCTAGCCGATATTTCTTGTTATTAGCAAATACAATAATAACTTATTGAAGCCACTACATAAAATCAAAGTCTTAAATTACCTTCATTGTAGAATCATCAGAAGCTGTTAACATGAAGTTTCCATTTGGATGGAATTTAATCATATTCACACGTGCCGCATGAACAGCAAAATGCTGATATAAAGAATTTGTTCTTAGATCATATAATTTAACACATCCATTCACGTTTGCTGATCCAATAGTTGTACCAGTTGGATGAAACTCTACATATCTAGAAGCTAATATAGCAAAATTTTAGGTTTCTTTAAAAGATGAACTTATGATGCATTTGACAAACCTTTTTTATGTTTAAAAGTTTTGATACATCGTTCACTAGTAATGTCCCATATTTTTATTGTTTTGTCATCGCTACATGATATCAAAAGTTTACCATCTGGAGAAAATTTAGCACACCTGACCGAACTCGTATGTCCCATAAACATTTTGAAGAAATTTCCCAGAAATGGTATCCATAGTTTTACAGTTGTATCATCTGACGCGGAAACGAACTAAACATATAAATAAGCAATTACATAAATAGCCTATGGCTAAAATGTATTGACTAATCTAGTGAAAATTTTTCTCAGAATTTTTCATATAATTTTTCAGAGTTTCTATATAATTTTTATATATTTTCTCACATTTTTTTATACAAGTTGGAACACTTTTCAAAAAATCTACATTTTTTCTCAGAAAATCTATATCTTTTTTCAGAGTTTTCCATATAAGTTAATTATGAAATATCATAAGAGATATATATATATATATCTCTTATGATATTTCATAATTAACTTATATGGAAAACTCTGAAAAAAGATATAGATTTTCTGAGAAAAAATGTAGATTTTTTGAAAAGTGTTCCAACTTGTATAAAAAAATGTGAGAAAATATATAAAAATTATATAGAAACTCTGAAAAATTATATGAAAAATTCTGAGAAAAATTTTCACCAGGGTAATTAATTAAATAATGAAACTCAAGAATTACCTTGTCTCCACTAGGATTGAATTGTACTGATCTCACGGCAAATCCGTGAGCTCTAAATTCTGCGAAATAGTGTCTAGCCTCAGAGCTCCGAACTCTGATAGATCTATCTCCTGAAGCACTGGCTATAAGCTCACCATCTGGTGAATAGCATACGTCGAAAATACCAGCTTTATGAGCTTTAACGCTTTCATATTTCGTACACGTATCTAATCTCCACGCTCTTACTGTTTTGTCTAAGCTACCCGTTACGAATCGATCATTTCGTAGCGGATGAAAACTTAAAGTTGTGATATCATTATGACCTCTCAAACATTTCCAGCATCTTGGATCACAGGTAGTATCTTCCATTATTCTAGTAACACAGAACAATGAAATAATAAAGAGCGTTTTCTAGCAAGGACATCGAGTACAGTGAATACATCCTTGTTGTTTGTCAACATTAAGGAGATCCTACAATCATCTGTTTTATCGGTTCAATAGAGATGCGTTCCATTTCACGCACGATGTACATGATATATCATTTTACCCTTCATCGAATATCAAAGAAAGATAAAATGATACATCATGCGCATCATACGTGAAACGGAACACACTCTAGGATTTATACACATACGATTTACGTGTCACTGATACATCACTACATACAAGCTACCATGCTGTAAACATCATGCATGCTACCACAATATCGCACGTACCATAAATTTTCGTAACGCATTTTCGTATGGAATTAGGTGGCTGTTCTAAGAACTCGACAATGTTTATTCTACTAGTCTATGGATTAGTTTAGTATTTCAAACAAATGTCAACAACCGCGCTAATCAATTGATCGAAGTTCCAAAGAATATAAATTTCGGAAATGATCAGAATATTTTAGTTCCTTACCACAAAATATCTCAACTCGCGATTATTCGGTGCATATAAATTTATTTTTAATTCCGATCACGTGATTTCTACAATACTTTGATTCATAATAGACTGCGGTCCACTTGACGCTACAAACGCTTCGAAGCATTCTTTGATCTGAGTTAATTTGTAAAATTCTTTGTTCTGATTGGTCGCTCAAACGCTTCAAAGTGTTTGTAGCGTTAAGTGTACCGCAGTCATAATTGGCTGAATGCAGTCGTCCTATAGAGGGCGAGTTTTTTAAATTCATCGATTGATCAATATCACACTGCTCAAATGTAATTTTGTACCGTAAAGCTGCGCATAATGCGATTGATCAATCGATGAATTAAAAAACTCGCCTAGATTCCCTATTTTATAAAAGCTTGCCGAAAAACATTTTTTTTAAACATATGTTATCGAAAACTTATATAATATTGTTTTCAGTTAAAAGAAAATAATGTTACTTTCACTTATTAATCCACTTTAATTATTTCTAGATGTTATAATTTTACAATAATTGGAGATCTTAATAATTTAGTAAACATTACTGATACAGACAAGATACTATTAAAGACCATCAACCTTAGATAAATTTTCACAAAGGTCAATAAATTAATGATTATGAACATAAATACTTGAATAATACATTATTAAATTCATGATCTATTATTATATAAGTGATCCTTAAATAAGTATGTATGTATATTTGTAATGTTGTAGTAAATGTAGTATCTCCTATAATGTCGTAAAATTACAATTTTGTTTTTACAATTATCATCTCATTGATAATCACACTCGGACGATAATATTAAGATCACAATCAAACTAGTCAAACACAAGTAAATAATTCTTCTTACTCTCTTCTCCCTTCTCCCATTTTTTCTCCTTTTTTCCTTTTCTCTTATCTCGCTTACATCCTTCTATAACTCTTCTTTTCAAAGTAAGCAATTAAGGAGACCAGAAAAAAAGGAAGAACAAAGGGTTAGAAAAGGTAGGAGGAATCGTGACGCATAGTGTCGAACAGTGTTTGCGCTATAATCTACTGTCTCGTCGTTTGCAATTAACTTTGCTTGTAATCAAATAAACAATTGATTGACCTTGATTGTAATATGCATTATAAAATGATATTCAATTAAAAATTTGCTTGAACAATTAAACAATTGTCAATATTCACACATACATTATTATCAAGATTAGGCATGTAATTGGAAGACTTTTATTTGAAAAACAGTATTTGTAAGATTAATAATTGTATTTTGTATCATGCAATCCGAAGATGCAAATGCAAATATTTTGTACAATATTTTCGTATTTCATGGGAGCATATAAAAACATTTTGAATTTTGTATTTTAATATTAATAACGAAAGATTGAAAATATAGTATGTATTTCAAAAAATAACCATAAGATTGACTAATCAATGATATTATTTGAATTACAAAGTACAAAAAACTTATAATTTTTCGATTTTAAAAAATATAAAATACAAAATATACTTATAGTGCAAAAACCGTGTTTTAAATAAAAGTATTTCATATACATGCCCAGCCCGTACATATTGTTCAGAGTGATTAATAAATATAAGCTGAAGAAACTAACGATCTAGTTTCTTAAATTCCTTTTCTAATATTGTCAAGCGTTGTTCTAATACATCATAATTATGACGTAATGATTGTATTTGCTTTACAACTGGATCTGCTGGTGTTTCAATAGACTGATTAGATGAACGTGTGTTAAACGATGTCTGACATTTTTTTAAGACCGTTTGGGATTGTTTCGAGCTGTGGGGCTGTTCTTTTTTTTGGAACATGGGCATATATTTTGCATAATCTTCTTGAGAAGAATCAACGTTCGTTATGTTCACGTTTTTATGTTTCACGATTTTTGCTGATAAAATGCTTTTACTGTCGTCTGATTCTGAGTGCAATTTTTTGAATGTGGTTGATAAATACTGCAATGATATATTAAACACAGAGATTTTAGGACCGAACATGTGAACATAACAAGAAAGGAAAGAAAGCCTTTCCAAGCTGGATCTTAAGTGCTAAAATAATTATATGTAAATTTATGTACCTGCGTAGTCATTTAAATTGCGCGCTGAAATAATTTTTCAAAATAGTAAATTGCTAAATAATTCAATTGGTAATATTACTACTGTAATTCAATTTGTTTCTGTCAAGATCGAAAAATTAGTTCGGCGCGCAATTTAAATGACAACATATATAGGTAGTAAATAAATTCATAGATAATTAGTTAAGCACTTAAGATCCAACTTGACCGTTAAAGGCTTTCTTTTCTTTCTTGCAATGATATATACTATGAAACTAACAGTTTGTGATAAAACTTAGCAACTCATTATGTTTTTTTTAATACAATGCAAACATTATTTTCTGTAGTTTCATAGAGCATATTTATATATATTAAGTTATACGTTTTCTTGGTTTTGCATCTCATCATATACATCTTCTTCAGCTTCTTCTTTGTCACTTTTCGATTTTTCATCCTCGTGGCTAAATGTTTCATATATATGTACGTTACTGCTTGATTTTTTATCTTCACCGTCAAATTCTTGTTCGGCATTATCAAAGCTCGGCATTATCAAGTTCCTATTTGCTGTTGTAGAAGGCACTACCTGCTGTATAGAATTCTCTCTACTTTGACCATCCACACATAAATCATCACACTTCCATACTAGGATTTGTCGATTCGTGCAACCAGAAGCAAAAAGCTTACCATCATTTGAAAATGCTATACATGTTACCTTAGCATAATGTTCCCTGAGAGAATAAATTGGCCGCGTGTTTAGCAAATCTAAAATCTAACCGATATTGCTTGTTATCAACAGATAACAATTTGGTAATAATTTATTGCAACCACTGTATGAAATCAGAGTTTCAATTAAAAGTACCTTCGTTGTACAATCATCAGACGCTGTTAACATGAAGTTTCCATTTGGATGGAATTTGACCATATTTACACCTGCGTCATGAACAGAGTAATGCTCATACAAAGAATTTGTTTTTAGATCATACAATTTAATACACCCATCCTCGTTTGCTGATCCAATAATTGTACTAGTTGGATGAAACTCTACGTATCTAGCGGGAACTAATATAGAGAAATTTTACTTTAAGTTCCTAAAAGATGAAATTATGATGCACTTGACAAACCTCTTATATTAGTGAAAGTTTTGACACATTGTCCGCTGGTAATGTCCCATACTTTTACTGTTTTGTCATCGCTACACGATACTAAAAGTTTTCCATCGTGAGAAAATTTAGCGCATCTGACCGAACTCGTATGTCCTTTAAATTCCTTGAAGTATTTTCCACGACATGGTATCCAAAGCATTACATTTTTATCATTTGACGCGGAAACAAACTAAACATATCGATGAATAATTACATAAATCATCTATGACAAGAATCTGAATTGGTTAATAATTAATAAAACGTAAAAATTACCTTGTCTCCCTTTGGACTAAATTGTACCGATCTTACGGCAGAATGATGAGCTTTGTATTCTGTGAAATTTATATGATCTTTGGGATCCCAAATTCTGATTAAATGGTCTGTAGATGTAGTAGCTATAAGATCACCATCTGGTGAATAGCATGCGTCTAATACACCGGATGTATGGGCTCTAAATTTTTTACCACTCCGTTTATCTATTTTCCATAATCCTAACATTCCATCCAGGCTACTCGATACCAGTCTATTAATTTGTATCGGATGGAAGCTTAACGCTGTAATGTCATTGTCGTGACCTGTCAAGTGTCTGTACATAAAGGCAGTCTGTTCCATTGTCCTAGCAGCACAATAAAATATAATAAAGAAATGAATAAAAGAAGAAATAAATCCTCAACAGTAAAACAATAATTAATTAAAAACAAAATTATACATAACATATAGTGAAGTTTGAATTTAAATTGATACATTTTAATTTTTAATCGTAACTTACGAATTATATTATATGTATAAATATATGTACAAGAATTAATACAACATAAACATATAATAATGCTGAAAATTCGTGTTAAAAGAAATATTAAACTTAAAAACACCTTCATGATTCTTTAGTATTTTAGATTAACAATGCAATTATCGCGAAGATATAAAAATTAATGCTGACTCGTTCAATGCGAATGTTGTATTTTTTAGTCGATTTAACTGTCTTATTTAATTAACATACCTATCTCTTAATTACAAACCATTCATGAGAGAATATATTGTTCATAACGATATTATTTTACTTACAAGATATCTTAGCGAAAAGGTTTACACGATGTGTCCAAACGTATAATAACTGAATTCTTTTTCCAAGCAAAATAACAGTCTGTAGATTTAGATATGTACTTCGACTAGATATCAATAACTACGCTGATCAATTGAAGTTCCAAAGAAAATAAATTTTGGAAGTGATCTGAATAGTTTCCTACCACAAAATATTTCAACGTATAATTGTACTGTATGCATACACGAATTTATTTTTAATTTCGACGATAGTTGCTTCATAAATTAGCTGCATTCAATCGCGCGCTCTCGACTTTCTAATTAAATTTAAAGCTTGTCTGTAGGTCAAATACAACCTTTTGAAAGTTAAAAGCATTCTAAAAACGGATACTTTTTTTTCAAGTAACTAAATAATGTTACTTTTTGAAGTCTATTGGCTCATTTTAATTATTTCCGGATGGATTGTCAGGCTCGTTATTCATCGAACACTTGGAACCATTAAATGATATTTATATCGTGATCTTATACTTAAAATTATCTTAAGATCTCCAGATAATGTACGATCATATCATTAGCTAGTTAGACGCCAATTGATTATCTATTTATAGATATTATAATGATAGAGCTATAAATTTTTAGTAAAAGAAGTGTTATGATTTACGTTCAAAGCATCTCATATTATTTACCGTGATATCAGATATGTAGATGTTTTTTACAACAAGATAAAGTTACTAGGAAAGAAAGTCTTTGTGACCACTTTGTACGGTTCAAGATTTTAGAAACGGTCAAGAAAACTTTAGAAATTCATTAAGGAAAATGAGCAATTTATGTGATATATTATATAAAGCATTGAAATACTACTTATTAGAAAACTCTTCTTTCATCTTTGTAATATTTATTATTATAACTATTCATTTAAAATTATACTTGGAAAACCAATTGTTAATATTGCACACACATATTTATATATTATTCTATAATTAACGCCATTTATAAGCTAATACCTGAAGGAATTAGTTTGTTAAGTATCTCTTATAATACTTTAAAGTATCGTTCTAATACATTATAATAGTGTGATATAATGATTGTACTTGATCACAGAATGTTTTAATGGATTAATTCAACGTCGGTGACGGACGACGTCTGATTTTGTTGAACTAACACGTTTTTACACGACGGGAAAGAACCTTTCCAAAAGGTCCATGTTGATTTAGATTTCATTTTTCGTTCTTGACTCCTGTATGATTAGATGTGATTTTTCCACCGTTGGGAAGTAACGCATTACTTGTAACGTCGTTTATACCGTTTTCGTTACTTTTTTCTGTCTCTAACGGTAACGGTAATGTCGTTACATTTTTACAATAACGGTAACGAATTTAGCTGTTAATTTTACCGTTACTTTAGTTCCCTATTATTTTCTTATTTTATAATTTATTTTTAATTTCTTAATAAATATTTTGTACTTAATATCTTACATTGTGTTCTAATAGGCACTGCTATTGTTGATAATATATAATTTACATTACATATATATATATATACTAGTGAGTAGAGAGCTTCATGTTTGAATATTTACTTCACATTTAATATTAAATTAATTATCAGCTAATGTAATTTTAAAATCTAATAACTTACTTTAGCATTTTTAAAAAGTAACGAAAAAGTAGCGAATCGTTACTTTTTAAGTAATGGTAATGTGAAAATGCGTTACTTTTTAAAATTAATAACGAGTAACTATAACGAGTTACTTTTTCCAAAAAGTAACGGGGACGGTAACGCGCACAATCCTGGATTTTTCTAATTTATATGATAAATACTGAAATGTATACACCTTAAAAAATTAATAGTTCCTGATAATGTAACAACACGTTTTTTTAAAATAAAATATCTGCTACCTTTTACAGTTTAATAAATTAGTTGCATATATTAAGTTATAACTTTCTCCTGATCCTGCTTGTCATGTATATCTTGTATTTGTTAACTGCTGTTGAATTTTTCATCCACATTGTCAAATTTTTGTTTGCTAGAGGTTCGCGTCATCAAGTTTCTGTTTGCTGCAGTAGACGGCATTAACTGTGTTATTGTTATTTCAATAAAATATCAACAACCACGCTAATCAATTGAAGTTCCAAAGAATATAAATTTCGGAAGTGATTAGAATATAGTTCTTTACCACAAAATATCCCAACTCGCGATTATTCTCTCTGGATGCTTATAAATTTATTTTTAATTCCAAACACGTGGTTTCCACAATACATCATAAATTGGCTGAATGAAGCCATCCTATAGACGTCCTAAATTCGTAAAAACTTATCCGAAAAACATTCTTTTGAAACATATGTTATCGAAAACTTATACTGTTTTCAGTTAAAAGAAAATAATGTTACTTTCGCTTATTAATCCATTTTAGTTATTTGATTGACAGATGATATGATTTTACAGTATATTAGGAGATCTATAATAATCTAGTAAACATTATAACTGATAACATCGATAAGATACTATTAAAGACCGTCAACCTTGGGCAAATTTTCATAAAAAGGGCTCCAAGAACCTGGAAATAATTGAAGAATACTGACATTATCCACAATTAAATTATATTAGCGATTATTAACATAAATATTTGGATAATACATTAAATTCATGACTTTTATTATATAACTTTTATTATATAAATGCTCCATAAATAAGTATGTAATACTTGTAATGCTGTAGTATCTCGTATATTGTCAAATTACAATTACAATTTTGTCTTTACAATTATTATCTCTATTGATAATCACACTCGGACGATAATATTAAAATCAAAATCAAACTAGTCAAACACAAGTAAATAATTCTTCTTACTCTCTTTCCTATTCTTCCTCTTCCCCTTTTTTCTCCTTTTTTCCTCTTCACTTCTCTCGCTTTCATTCTTCTAATTCTTCTTTTTAAAGGTAAGCAAGGACTAGGAACAGAAAGGAGGTAAAGAACAAAGGGTTAGAAGGGTTAGTAGGAATTGTGGCGCACAAAGTGTCCAGCTAGTTTGCACTATAATATACTATCCCATCGTTTGCAATTAACTTCGCTTGTAATCAAATGAACAATTGATTGACCTTGATCGTAATATGCATTATAAAATTACTCAATTAAAAATGTGCCTGAACAATTAAACAGTTGTCAATATTACACGTATACATACAGTTGATGTCAATATTCACATACATTATTATCAGGACTATAGGCATCGAATTAAAATACCTTCATTTCAAAAACGTTATTTGTAAGATAAATTAATACAATTGTATTTTGTATCGTACATTCCAAAGGTGCAGATGCAAATATTTTCGTATTTCATGGGAGCATATAAAAGTATTTTATATTTTGTATTTCAATATTAATAATGAAAGATTGAAAGTATAGTATGTATTGCAATACTAACAATAAGATTGGCAATCAATGTCATTATTTGAATTACAAAGTACAAAAAACTTACAATTTTTCGAAAATTGTAAAATTTAAAAAAATAAAACGTACAAAATACACTTATAATGCAAAAACC